TACAACCTCTAGCAAGAATCTTCCCAGACTCAAACCCCAGGTCCCAAGTCAGCCAGCCACAGCAGTGTGAATTCCTCAGGGAGGTGCCAGTCTCATTCTCTTGTAGTTCCCACGCTCCTGCCGCGAGCTAAGAAAATGCTTATCTCCCTGAGCCTGGCCTTCATAATTCCATTCCATCAAAGCAGGTGATAATTAGAATGAATCAATTCTGACTAAACTAGGTGAACTCCCTCCCTACTAGGACATGTTCATACATTGCTTTAAGTTGGTTTTGGTTTAATGTATTGTGTGAACTTAATATTTATGGTTTCTTCCACAAACCATAGTTAAAATCAACCATGGCTTAGCATTATGTGCAAACTGAGCCACTGATTCTCTCTCCTATCTGTCCAGCTGAAATTCAAGTCTTTGAGATTCATCTTCAATGCTGCCCTGCAGAGAGGGTTTCGTAGTGCCTTTGTCTTCAGAGAAGAGGATCCTAGTCGCCAGGTAAGCCCTTGGATCACAGGTCCTCTTCTCACTTGCTTACACTCCAGGCAGCTTGACTCTTCAGAGGTCTTAGTCACCTTAAGACTCTGATGGAAGCTGGAGTTAGACTTTGTGATTATAGGAATATGATGTAAGTTTTCACATTTCTTCTGATCCTGACCTTAGACTGCCATTAATGGGTTTAAAAATACATGTTATTTCATCACCATCCAGGGGTTATGCAGGGAGGGGGAGTCAAAAATCTTGCAGAAGTTAGAAATTTTGTAGAAAGCCACACCAAATTTTCTGCAATTCTAGCTTCCTCTGCTTTTTTGCTTTTTTTTTCTGCTGCTTTTTTGTACACAGCCTTTGCTATTCAAACTGTTCCTTTAAGAGGCTTTGGGCTACTTGCCTCTGGTACAGGAAATCTGTGGCGTGAGGGGTGGTGCTTTCTTGTCTAGTAGTTGGTAAGACCCATGGGTGGAACCCATAAGTTGCCTGGAATGGTGACGTATCAATAGAGGAGTGGGCAGCATTGTTGTAAGCAAATTCAGCAAGAAGTATGAGATCAGTCCAGTTGTCTTGTTGGTAAGAAATACATCATCTTAAATATTGCTGTAATAGTTGGTTAGCCTTCTCCATTTGCCTCTGGATGGTGCAAGGAAGACAAATTCATCTTTAATAAGCACAAGAGGGCCCTCCAAAATTTGGAAGTGAATTGACTTCTTTGGTCTGTTAGGACATGATTGACCAATCGTCTATATCTAAAGACGTGATCCAAAAAGAGGTGAGCTTTTTGGGGGGCCATTGGGAGACCCTTGCAAAGAATAAAATGAGCCAATTTGGTAAATAAATCCACTACTACCAGTATGGTAGTATATCCCCACACTGGAGGAAGATCAGTGATGAAATCCAGAGGAACAGTGTCCCAGGGTTGCAAAGGAGTTTCTAGCAGTTTCAACAACCCAGTCAGCTTACCAAGGATTGGTTTTGCTGTATGGCAGTCATGACAAGGGGAAACATAACCCTTAATGTCAGTGTGGGCTCTCAACCACCAAAATTCTCTGAACTGGTCAATCAGGGCTAAGTCATTCCACCCTACATTGCTAACAAGTAAAGTCCAAAATATATGTCCTTACTCTCCTCTGTCATTGCGTGAGCTTCCAGATCTCTCAACTAGCTGTGATTCTCTGTATGAGATCCCCAAAGTGTCCTTCGAGTTTACGCATGAAGTCTTGATAGTTGTCCAGTACTGGATCGTTCCCTTCAATGAACGGTATTGCCCACTTAGCTGCTGCTTCCTTCAGCAAGCTCAGCACAAAAGTCACCTTGGTGCGATCAGTGGGAAACTCCACCAACCTGCCTGCCATAAACATTTCACACTGAGTGATGAATGTGCGGAATCGATCCTGGTCCCCTCCAAACTTCTCCAGCAAGCTCCCATGAGAACGCAGAAGCATTGGTTGGGCTGCTATCTGTTGTGCTGCTGCAGGTTGAGGCAAATTCTGCTCCAGTTGCCATGTTAGTTGTATCATGGCATTCTGTAAATTGGTCATCTGTGCATCTACTTGCTGCTGGTGTTGCAACAATGCAGCTACCAGATGCTCAGCAGATAGTGGGGTTCCTTGCGGATCGGAGGCCATCCTTGAAATTCCTCTCTTTGGAAGTGAGTATGAGACTTGCAAGATTGATGTCAGCCCTCCCAGGTAAACTGACAGGAAACATGACAGATGAGCTAATTCTACTTTATTGTTAGGCTACATTAACAGAATCTTGCATGTCTGAAAGTACAAATCTCCTGCCGTCCCTTTTTACCACCTGATTAGTTAGGGCAGATCCTTTCTAAGTTTCTTTCCCTGCCTGTTACTCAGTTGCAGGCTCCTCCCCCTTTTAACTGATCATCACCTAGGCAGCATCTTTTCCCCCCATTTTCCAAGGACATTCTCACATTCCATTAGAGGGGGTGACCTTTCCATCAACCCCTTGTCATGGACAGATCACTCATTCATGATGATGGATTTAACCAGAGCCATCAAACCACTCAGAAAAGCTGGTGGCTTATTAAGGTGATTTCTGCAGACACCAAATGGAACTGGAGGGTTTCTGATTAGCACTTCAGGAATTTCCTAGCAATCTGGAGCTCTGTTAGTCATCTGCTTGACCTCTGGTCAGTGGAAGTGACCTGGATGTTTGATAGGATTGCCCCTGAGTCACCTCTCCTCCTCCACTGACCTCTGGGGGCTCCTTAGTTTTCTGAGGAGTTCCAGAAAATGAAACGGACGAAGAGATACCCAGAGTGACGCTGGTGGAAAATGAAGTTGAATCTGAGGGGATATGAACTCAAGTCTACTCTCTGGAGATAAGGACTTGAAGCATAACTACTTCTCCACCCTTACTACATCTGCAGGCGGCTGTCAGCCAGCATCATTGTTCATAACTCAGGCCCTGTTAGGTAATGGTGAGCTGGAACATCCAGTAACAATAATGTGCAAACATCTGGCGAGTCATCTCATAGATTAAATCACTCATATTTGCTGAAAGCTGGATCAGCAGGATTTTGAGATGATACAGGATGCATCTGGCAATGTTAACTGAGCCTGTAGATCTTGAGGAAGTAGACGAAGTTCTTTTTAGTATAAGCTCCAACACTTGTGATCTTGAATCCTATTCTTTCTGGCTAAGTAGCTAAAGAGGAAACTGAAAACTGGATTTGAGCTCTGGTCAAAGCATTCTTGAGGGAGGGGGATGTTCCAGCAATCTTAAAAGAGAATCCAGCAATAATGGACAATTACCAACTTATATCCAACTTTCCTTTTTGGAAGAACGTTATTGAGAAAGCAGCGAGTGGCAACTTGTCAACCCTTTCAGACAAAGAAAGTCAGGAAAGAGGAGTTGTAGTAGTCTTGGAAATTAGTTTGATGAGGTTAGGATGTTGGATTAGAATGTTGAAAGTCTGTCAGTCCCCTGTCTCCTTCAACTTATACCTAACCCAATCAAGGTGGAGTTGTTCTGAGTTTCCTTCTCAACTCATGCTTTCTACTCTCCCAGGACTGAGATACTGTTTCTGTAACTTCTCCACATTCTCCTGACATTCCATCACACAACTACAGAGGGCTCTGGAAGAAGCAGATTGTCTGGATCCTTGGCACTCAGGATTTAGGCCTAAACATGGGATGGAAACTGTATTTCTCACTCTGCAGTCCTTGGTGCTCTCTGAGCTTGGTTGTTTGCTTGCAGACAGTTCATTACCTGACTAGATAACATCATCAGCGCACTGACAACGTTACCTAGTTGGGTAATGAAATGTTTGCAAGCAACAACCAAGCTCAGAGACAACCAAACTCCTTAATCTCACAACACATGGACAGACTCAACCATAGTTTCAGCTGGGAAACTCTGAGCATCCTAGACCAAGCCAAATCCAAAAATACTAGGGAATTCCTGGAAGCTTGGCACTCACACATCAGCCATCAATAGACACATAAAGATAAAGCACATTTACACACCATTCCAAAGAGACAATAAGAAAGCTAAGAAGGAAACCAAAAGATCAGAGCACATCCTCTCCAGCAGCCTATACCCAGATAAGCAGGGATTAACACCAGGCAAACAATCAAACAGAAGACAATACCCTAATCAAGGAACTAACTACTAAGGAGAAAAACACACCCCATCAACACTGGCAGAGCAAGCTACTATATATAAACAGGGAGCAAACCCCACATTTACTAGCAGTGTTACTTAGGTAATGAAACATCTGCAATCAGCCAAGCTCAGAGAGCACCAAGGACTCAACAGTTCAACCCTGAGCCACAGAGATTCTCTTCTATTGGATTTCTCACTCTCACTGATGAGTTATGGTGGAACGTGGAGGGGGGAGCACAACCATCCTTGTGCTGCTGTCTCTTCAGTACTGTCAACTATGGTCCTTCTGGTTCTCCTGTGAGGGTTGGAAGTAGGAGACACCATTTGTGGTGGTTTTGCTCCTTCCTGAGTGGGCACGTTCGGTCAGTGGTTGCAGCAGGAAGAACTCAAGCCCGTGGGAATTCCAGTATGGATGACCCAGGGCTTAGTCCTTCCCCCAGCCTGTTTATCATCTACTTGGGACTTAGGTATCTTAGAGACCATCTATTCCAGTAAATTTTGCTTGCCAGAACTGGGAGAATAGAGTGCTTGCTGAAGATCCCTCCTATCCATGGGAAAAAGCACAGAAACAGGCACTGTAACAATTTGCCCGGACACAAAAGTCATTGCCTCTCTCATGGCCTTCTAAGAAATTGGTATGCCCTAGTTTTTCCAGAAGGCCTTTGTGGACTGAGATAGCTAGAGTAGTTATTGTTATGGGTTTTTATTTATTTCTATTGCATTTCTTGTTATTTTAACATATTGTTTTGTTAAATTATTTTGTACCCTTAGAACTGTTTGAAGTGAAAAGGTTTAGAAACCTACCTGCACACTCACACAGGTAGTGCACACTTTGAAAAGGATTGAAAAAAGATGCTTCAATCCTTGCAGTTCCTTAATGTGAGTGTTTTAAGAGTTGTATTAAAACCCACTATTATATTATTTGGTTCATTAAAGCAGCAGCATCTCCTTTTCAGGCTCCTGAAGAAACTTGGACAAAGACAAGCATACTTTAAAAGTTAACAGAGAAACGGTATGCTTGTAAGAGGTCTGAAGCAGTTCTTCTGAATCATTTGCAAACCCTGGACGAAGATGCTTCAGGAACCTCCTTAGCCAACTCAGGTGGAGCAGGAGCACCCTCTTCTGAGCAGTCATGGCTCAGCAGCCACTGACAGAAGAGGCTGCCTTGTTTTGCACAGAGGCAGTCCAACACTGTATGGGAACTCAGGTTCTAAAATTCCCTGCAAATCACACTTGCTCCCCTGTGCCTTCCAAAACAGTTGATATTGGAAGAGTTCCATGTTATGTCTTACTATTCTTTTTCCCCTTGCAGATTACGTTTGAGATCTCCAAAGTTGAGGAGTCCCACATCCCCATCTGGATCATAATTGGGAGTACATTAGGTGGCCTCCTGCTGTTGGCACTCCTGGTGCTGGCACTCTGGAAGGTAAGCCTTCCTGCAACCACACAGGGTAGGCATGGATGTATTACAATTAGCTCATCTTGACTCACTACAAGCTTAAATAAACTGCCCATTTGAATGGTTCCCCTCATAGAGAGCAATTAATTGGGGCCAAACACTTCCATGCAACCATAGTGACACAGAGGAGCCAAAAGGAACTCAAAACCATAATTGCATTTTTAATGCTGAATTCATTATGCCCATATTCAGTGATCTTGACGCTACATGCATTCTGGGTTACACCGGACACCCTTAGGAGTACAGTCAGACTGAACAAGATAGCAGTTTAGCATCTCCATAAATAGAAATTTTTCCAAAAATCCTTTTAACGACAACACAGATTAGGTTTCCATTTTTATGTTAATTAAAGCAAAAAACTAACTGGTTCTTCACTTAGGTAGGAATAATCAGAGAAGTATTGCAGTCTTGGGTTGCATCAACAGGGTGTTGAGATCACAGGAAGACCACTCTGTGCTACGTTGGTCAGACCTTATGTGGAATACTGTGTCCAGTTGCTGAGGAACTGGAAAGAGTGCAGAGAAGAGCAACAAAGAGGGTGAGGGGCTTGGAGGCTAAATCCCACGAAAAGTGTTTAAAGGAACTGGATATGTTTAGCCTAAAGAAGAGAAGGGTAAGGGGAGACAGCATAGAAGTCTTCCAATATTTTAACAGCTGTCACAGGAAATAGAGAATAGATCTATTCTCCACAGCACCTAGGAGTAGGACAAGAACCAATGGGTGGAAGCATTACAGAGGGAGAGTCCAACTCAAAGTGAGAACTCTTCAGCGGTGGCGCAGCTGCCTTCTGAAAGCACGGGGGCTGCCTCAAGCCAAGGTCTGGGATGGTCTGAGGATTCCGGCCTTTGGTGGGGGGGTTGGACTAGAAGACCTCCAAGGTCCTTTCCAACTCTAGGATTCTAGGGGTGTCTCCAGGAAATGAAAAAGTCAAGATGGCAGCTGCAGCCACACAAAGCTCTGCCCTTTGTTTATGAGTCTCACAGCTACAATCTGGACTTTTTTTGACTCCTACTGTAAACTTGTAAACTATTTTCTCCCTCATTCCAAACAGCCCAAAACGCAAAAACAACCCTTGCTTATGGTCTTCCTATAATCCAGTCATTATAGTTGTTTTTCTCCTTAAGGGCAGAGGTTTTACATGCTGTATAACAGGTAGAAAATCAAATGAGGTTTTGCCTTTTTCTTATTTCCTAATTGTTTAAGCTTTAAATATTTGAAAGTTTTCATACTATTCTGTAAGCAAAAACTGAAAGTGCTAAGATGGCCTATAAGCCTTCATAAGTACGTTACAATTAAACTCTCTAGCATGGAGATTCAGTGATTTGTTAAACAACTGAAAAAAGCAGTCCCAGCTGTTTCAAAGTTGGCAAACTCAACTTGGGTTTCTGCTTTATCTTCGTGTCTCTTCAGCTTGGTTTTTTTAAAAGTGCCACCCGCAAGAGAGATGCAAGCCAAGATCAGACCATCAAGGATTTGGACTAAGGTTTCCATTCTCCCGAGTATATCAGCCTGGTTTTTTCTCACAACCAAGTTTACTTTGGTGTACAGCCAGCCTCTGTCTGCATTGATCAGTTCCCCTGTTAGCTGAAAGCAACCCAGCTGCTAAGTGTTGACTGCAAGGGAGATGCATCCACCAGCAAGGACTTCAAACTGGTTTCGTTTCCTTCTGCCTAAGACACTGGAACTGTGCAATAAGGACAGAGAGGGTAAATCGACAGAGAGCAGCCTTCTCTTTAAAATGACATACCTTGGGCTCAAGGCAGACGGAAAATATGCCAGAAGACTCTTAGGAAGAACCTCCAGCCCTTTACAAGTCTATGGCACGTGCAGTTTTTGTTTGGGCCGATACGCTTTTCAGTCTGCAGCCTCACTGGGGAAATTTTGCTCCTACAATAAAAAGAAGTGGAAAGTCTGGATTCACAAAGATATTTGAGCTTGCATTCCTTCATCCAAGATGTCAGGGGCAAACAAATCAGACAGAAGCATTCTGCAATGCATCCCCTTAAAAACAAATCAAGTTGCTTTAATAAAATAGTGCTTCATTCCAGATAACTTGGGGACCTACAAATCAAATGGACAAAGGGGTGCTGCAGAAAGTTGATGCTTTCAAATGAGATCTGCACAATAACTTCTGATTGCAAGTTGGGATCACTAAAATTAAGTGGAGATTACTTTGCAGATGGGCACACAGAAACACAATCTTGCTGTCAGGTATCTGAAGAAGAGAGAAAATGGGTAGAAGAGATCAATAATGATCATGTTACCAGACTACATTTGCAAATGCACCAGTAAAACTAGGCACCCAATGGTTTTGAAGGCCTAGGCCAACGATACAATGCACTGGACGCTGCTTCTGCACGTGGAATTCCTTTTCATTCCCAAAGCAAGGAGTACGGAAGTGCTCATAAAGAGAAGCCGCCCAACAACCCACCAGCTTTTTTCAGTTTTTGCATGGAGCAGATGGAGATCTTGATTATCTTCTTTTTATATGCACTGAACAAATACCCACAGTTATAAGCACCTTAATGCAAGCCTTCAATCCTCAGCTGTATATACTTATTCTGAAAATGTTTAACTTTCTTATTTTTAAGGTGATTTTTAAGAAAAACCAGTTTGAAGTATTTTCCCCAAGTTGTGCAATTTCCAAAATCAATAGAGACAGGAAAAATGTATTATATGTATATACTTTTGTATGTTGGAAAGGATTTAATTGACTATTTTTTCTTTTGCGTATAAAATTATTTATGCCATTGTTAATATTAATAACTGAAAATGAGATATTGGTTCAGCTGAATTCAGTAACATACATAAAATGTACCATTAGGGCTTTTTTAAAAAAAATAAGAAAAAGAAAATTAAACATTTTTAAGTGAATGTTTAGATATCCTCATTTGTCTAAAGCCAGTTTTAATGCATTATAAACATTACTTTCCCCACTGGGTGAATATCACACACCCACCTCTGATAGTCAGTGGACGAATCTGATTACTCAACAAGTTAGTTGTGAGAGGTCACAGCCGAGCAACCTGATGCCCTCAAAACCCATCAGGTTTCTTGGCAGCCCTGCTAGAGCTGCCGCCAAGCATCATCCTTAATGTGAAAGAAAGGAGGGGGCTATTAAATGATGGAAAATAATCCTATTAATTGCAATGAATTTCATTAATTTACATTTAAATTAAAATCAAATCAACACTAGTTTTCTGTCCACTTTGGGGCTTGAGCCATCAAAGGTCAAGTGGACCCTTGACTGACCCTCTCAAAAATGTACCCCCTCAGTTTGGGACATTTTAGTGATGAAGTGAGACTGTAGCTTTCACAGAGAGTGGCGTAGAGGTAGGCAGGAAGTCTCCTTAGAAGCAGAAACAAGATGGGCTCTAAGATCAACTGTTGTGTGTGATTTTATTTTTGTAAATTGCTTTGAGAAGGTGGTGGTAGTGGTGGTGCAACCTAGAAATATTGCAAATAAACTCCAATTGGATAGTTATTCTGCTACATTCTGGATTGTATGCTTGGGTACTTACTATTTTTCTGCCATGCTGTTTCTCATTCTTTGGCCCCGTATATTTTTGCTCCTTCATTTGACTGTTGGAATATTGTAAGCCAGAACAAGCAACTGCCTTAAAAACCTAAAGCAGTCAATACTTCATTTTATATCAAAACAGCCTGTCCTGTTTTCCATTCCCCCATCAAAACAGCCACCCATTTGTTTTCCATCCCCCCATCAAATTTAGCTACCAGTGGAGGAAATCTCGACAAATCAGCTTGAATGCCAAGTGGAACCCTAAAAAACCTCTTAATACCACTATGCAATCCCATTCCATGGAATTGCATGCAGCAAACAGGGCTTAGCCATTGCCTCTGCATAGGCTAGCAATACTTTCCCACAGAATGAGACCTCCCCTCCATCAAGATCCTGGGAGAAAAATGAGCAGCCCACTAAGAGCAATTCTCCTAATCTTCTGCAGGCCAAGCAGCTGTACTTCAATGCAAGTTCTAGTGATGGGAACATCACAGGGAAACCTTGGAAACTTTTTGTCCTGCTGATAGTGATTCTTTCAGCTTCCAAGGACATGGACTGAGTACGTGCCCCTTGACTCTCCTGGCTGATCAAACTGGCCGGGCCAGGACTGGCCCCCATGGTTGCGGGTGATTGTGGCATCCTTGGGCAATGTGTGCTTAACAGAGGCAGCAGCACCACATCCCCCCTGGACCCAATGTCTATGATTTTCTGCTCCTGGGTAAAGTGATTGAGGGGGTGCTGGCCTCATAGCTCCAGATGCATCTGAATGAAACTAATTATCTGGACAGATTTCAAGGGGGGGCTTCACCCAGGATATGGTACTGAGACTGCTCTGGTAGTCCTGGTGAATTACCTATGCTAGAAACTAGATGTTCTCTGGGCAATTAGCACCCTCAATAAATAGGCATGCTGAGGGAGAACAAGCTGAAATTGTATCATGGTATCCTTTTGGGTCAGCTGCAGGAGTTGGGGCTA